TGCATTGTTAAGAGAGTAGCTTTAGTACTTGACAAGTAGTCGGCTTCTGAAAACAATTAGTAGAAATCTAATTGAATTGAGCCAGACCAGGGCGCCAGTACGCCACGCTGAGCAGATTGCCGACTAATGCTTGCATAAATTTCCCGTTTCTGATCTCGAATGGTCGAACTGATAAGAAGCTTGTGCACGTGCTCATAGGTAACGACTCATTAATCTGAATGTGTCTCGATGGATGCAACCATGCAGGCAGTACCAATTGCACATCCGGTGTCTCAAGAAGTTCATGAAGGATTATGGTATGACCTTTTTCTTCCTGGCAAAAACATGTCAGCTTTGTTGTTTCTCTCACTTTTTATCGATTGATTTGGAAATTGTTTTGGTGATGAAGGAATTGTTTACGTTTCACCAAATTCCAACACATGGATAGATAACAGAATGGACCTTTCATTTTTAAAAGGAAACTAAGATAGTGGCATATAATGAGCTATTTATTTGCTTGCGCTTGGTTTCCAAAAGGAATAGGATGACAAACATTCCCCTCTGATGTAGAAAAAATTATAACATGTAGCACAAAGAAACATACCTATATATCTGATCATTTTTGTTGCTGCATTGTTTTCTTGCAGGTGTATGTGTACCGCAAAACATTAGCTGCAAGCCTTTTGGTAACTTCCTAGCTTCTAGGATCTTAGGTTTCTTTTAGTAAATTATTTTCATAGTAAGGTTTCTTTTGATATATTTGATTATTTCTAAGCCATGTACCAGAGTGACAATCTTTGTTTTAATCCACATGTTAGCAAGATTTACTTGATTCCTGGACGAAATATCATATTTGCCTTACACCAATAAATTTTGCTTAAGCTAACTTACAAGCTGATTTAACTATTCCAGTAGGAATTGTTTATTCAGTATCCAACAAAATGGTTGGCAATTTATGGCAGTGTTCGGCTGGCATTAAAATGACACTGTAGCATCTGGAAAGTACTGTAGCAGCTTGAGAATAGTGAGAGAAAAACACTGCTCCGGCTAGAAAAAAAGAAGTCCAGCCAGCCAAAAGTGGCCAGCCGAACACACCGTATATCAAATGTAGTGTCTAGAAGTGCCTATGGAACTGGTTCATCCCCTCCCTTGCTCCTTGCTCCAAACAAAAATGAGCCTTGCAATGAACTAAAAAAACAACTATCCTGCTATTCATACATTTTTCACATTTCCAAACTTAACACATACAAATTAAGTTATACTAAAACATTTTGATTTAGTACAACCAAATCAGCACAATATATTTTTCTTATATAAAAGAAATATTTTTGCCATGTTTGCTGTAAAATTGTGGCTTAGCCTAATCTCGGCTAAGCAGTCCTTTCAGTTGTAATGTGCTTCTGCCTATCATTTTATATTCGTCTATTAATTTTTGTTTCCCACTCTTTTTCTTAAACCATTCTTCTTGTCCCTTGCAGGTTCAAAGTTTGGAGGTCTAAAAGGGTCACCGGCTTCAAAATACAGGTCTGTCTAGAGATTTGTTTTCTTGCTTACATAGTTCATACTACAATATCTACCAACAGCCATGAGAACTATAGAGCAAGTGTGTCCATTTGGGAAAAATGATAATATCTCTGTTTTGCTTTGTTTCTTGCAGCAAGTGTCAGGTTATAAGTACTAACTGAGTAACCGATACATACCTTGTATTAGATTTATGTTTGTGAACTTAAGTTATGATCAGTGCATATATGAACATATAGTATGATATTCGCTATGCCAAAACTGCAAAAAGAAGACACCTAATTCGGGGTATCTAACTGACCCCTGCTGTCTATGCAGGGATGAGCTATTGTGTTTGTTTCAGAGAAGCAATCTCTGTCAGTTCTTAAATTAGATGGCTGGAGCAGGCTTTGGTTTTGTCAGTATTAGCTCTTCAAGCCTTCCAGCGCTTTGGATGTCAGGTCTTTGTCCCCTTACCAAAGTGGTATGTTAATATATTCCTGCAATTTATTTGCTATGCAATTCCATAATCTGTTATGAGGACCAGATCTATTTAAAATCGAGTTATTATCAATAAAAAGTCATGTCCAGTGATGCATTGTGTCGGATATCGATATTAGGGATACTCAAAACAAGGAAGTTAACGCTCACGCTGACTTCCCCGGATGGCGAGACATATTAAGAGGTCTCGCCGACCCCTTGGGTGCGGGCTCTTTCTCGCTTGACCCCAAGGTCGCGGGCTCCGTCTCGCCCTACCTCAAGGCTGCGGGCTCCGTCTTGCCCGACCCCTTGGGTGCGGGCTCCGCCTCGCCCAACCCTAAGGATGCAGGCTCCGTCTCGCCCGACCTCGAGGACACGATTTCTGTCTCGTCCGACGGGGACCCATACCGCCGCCAACCACTCCAGGTCCAAGCGTATGGGCCTGGGTCAAAACTCTGACGCCAGGGAAGAGGCTGGCACGCCTCGATGTAACCCGTGGCCATGACGAGCCATACCTGGGGATTCACATCAAGAACAGTGTCGGACGTGCCGGTGTTGTTCTACCTAATCCTCGTACGGACGCTGACAGGCGCGTCAGTTCACCACGACGTCCACCGGGACGGAGTGGAACGCCATGACCGGCAGATGACGCCTGCGCATGGCGCCAGTGACGAACAGGGCCGCGACATGGAGCCGTCCCTGTTGATCAGCGGGACCCGCATGAAGGAGAAGAAGGACCCGGCAACCCTGGAAGCTTTCTTCTTTCTCTCGTTCTTCTACTTTTCCTCCTCTGTAACCCGCACTTTCCCTTCGTCTATAAAAGGGAAAGCAGGGCGCCCCATGGAGGGAGGTGGAAGAAAGACGAGATCCAAACACAAGAGTACGGCACGAGCACACGGCTGAGCGACAAGCGAACTCTCAGCACCCGTTCACTCCTTCCACCAGAGACTTGGGATCCTCTCCATCTCTCGCCTGTTTGTAACCCCTACTGCAAACCAAGTGCCGGTAACACGAGCAGCAGCGAACTGGACGTAGGGACGTTCCGCCCGAACCAGTATAAACCCCTGTGTCCTCCAAGCACATCATCCGAGCCAGACGCACAAATACAAATTTACTCGTCGGTGGTCCGAAAACACCGACACATTGTTTTGTACTTTTACTGAATCAAGTGGGGGCTGTTCTGTTGCTGAGCAACTTGAGGTAGTCTTCAATGCAAGATTGTCATCATCAAGTTTCATGAACATTGGCAAGGCGCTCAGCGACATCTTCACTATCAGATTCGGAATCAAATGAAGAGTACAACTGTTCATTAACATAAGTCAATGTATATATAAATTTTGTCTTAGTCGTCAATGAGTCAACAGATACGACTTTGTATTGATTCCGTTTATACTCTGTAGATATTTGATATCTAAATGGAGCTAAGACAACATCTTAAAGTAACCCTGATGCTCTTTCAACGATCAAACTGCTCGATGTGTTCAAATGGCCGGTTACTTGCTATACAGATTTTGCAACTTGATTAACTTGGTTCATTTATGCTGCTTCATCTACTGTTACTTATAGCAGGTTACTTATTATTGCCTTGTAATTTCATGACCTGAACTTGCTGGTGATATACAAAAGTGTTTTCCGGATTATATATACATGGTGATATATACAATTGCGTGTAACTTAAATGCTGCCGTGACGTTAGCACGGGCACTGTGCTAGTAGGATAAAGGAAGTATATGAGACAAAATTCAAAAGGCCTACTGTGCCGTGTTGTCAAATGGTTGCTCAGTTGCTCTGATCACATTACAACAAAACCAGAGCATCCAATCCAAATTAACACACACGTTTCCATGCATCCAAACCACACACTTCAAAGTTCAATGATAGTGAATCAAAGGCTTAATCTGTTAATGAGAGGTCGCAAAACCAGTGGCCTTGTCACTTCCCGGTAACTGGATAAATGCGTCCACAAAAGTGACCAATTGAATAATGTTCAACAAGCACTTAACACCCATTGCCCTGTTCGCTTGGCTGATAAGCCATGGCTAAAAGTACTGTTGGCTGATTTGTTGTGAGAGAAAAATATTGTTCGTTGGCTAAAAAAGTATGACTTATAAGCCAAGCGAACAGGGCGATAATATAACGCATCCAGAAAAACAAAAAAAAGGGGAAAAGAAAGAGAAAAGGACTATATTAGGGGATGCTCAATCAACAAAATAAAAAAAAACAACTGATATTCAATCCGCATTTAACACAAAGTTGTAACCCTCAAAGGCACATAAACTGCCATACGCCCTGATGAGGATTACAAACACATTATAAAAAAAAAAAGATAGTTAAACAAACCATGTTTCTGTTTCGACTTTCAAGCTTCAACCAAATGTCTTCATGGAAAAGGTGCTTCACAGGATTCAAAGGACTACTTGAACAGTACAACTTTAGTCATCTGTCACATATCCCTATTTTAGATTTAATAAGAACGATAGAACCTTTAACTATTACAACATTTTTACTGAAAATGCTGATAAGAAATAAACCAGACAGCTACAAAAACATTTATGATGTATTTATATCAGGCCAAGTCAAACTGATCTCCCAACTGATGTTCATAAGGGAAAACAAGGGCGATGCCGAAAGAAATCCATATGCAACAAACAGCAAAAGTTGGCTGAGTTTACTTGGGCAGGGAAACTGCTAAACAGGGTCAAGCTTGTCAAAAAAAAAAAAGGTTAAACGAAAACATCATAACCTTCTTTGTGCCTTCCTAGGTTCAGTGATTCTATATGTATGAAGATGCTACTCGTTCCACATGATGTATCCTTGTGGAGTTCAGGATATCCAGGAATACTTTCTACATGTCTGTAAGACTGTAAAATATGCAGGCAGGAATATTTTCTACATGAGCTACAACTATTTTGTGTGGTGATTTTAGGATGTTTATTATGTGCCAGACTGCCAGTGAAGCTGACTATATGGCACAAGGAGAATCTGGTGATGCACAATAGAGATAGCGCAACCATATGGGAACTTTGCTTCTAGGGAGCATTCTACTCGACACACTCCTCTGATCTCTTCCGCTTAACTCCTGTACAGGCTTGTTTTGGCTTCCCAACACGCTCTTCTAACAGCGCAATCTTCGCAGCGAAGCTAGTAAATTCTGAGGGGGATAACTTGTGATCCTCTATGCATTTGGATATTGAACTCAAAAGTGCCAAGTCCTCCTCATCACGCTCCTGTGCAGAACCAATTACATGTACTCGTTAGGATAAGGTTTGCAACATATAGAAGGCATTGAAGATTAGAAACAGAACACATCATAAAGCGGTTGCTGGATATTAACAATGAATGAATGAAATAAATGGCTAGGCCAAACATAAAATCCTGCAAACCATGCCGAATATGACAAATGCGGTACAAGAAAGATGACAATCATACCGATGCCTGCCCCTCACTCTCGTCTTTTGTATCGTGCTCAAGTTTCTCAATGATGAGAGCGAGTGTTGGTGCAAGAGGGAAAGCTTCCTGAAATTCAAATGCAAGGATGATGCGCATTGCCTGAAGATACATGGCCTTATTTATCATTTCGATAACAACATCTGCAAGAGAAAAAAAAAGAGAGTTGCAGTTAGGCGCACTGAAAGGATCTGAAATCTGAATTGGAACATGGAAAATCTGAAACGCTTGAATGTTATCAGGGTTCAGGGGAAGAAGAGGGAAGTAGATTTCATTTTTCTCACCCCGCATCTTCCTGACAAAGAGCTTGGAGGCCTTGAGCACCTCGACGCAGGCGGAGACGTCGGCAGCGTCTACAAGGTCGCAGAGCTCCTGCGCAGGGAACTCGACCGGCACCCCGAAGGCAGCCATGAAGAGAGCGAGGCCGCGGGCGCCCGCAGCGCCGGGCGCATCGCCGACCCCGCCGCCGCTGACGCGTAGGAGGCGGCTACGCCACGTCAGCGCGGCCTCGCGGGCCTCCTGCCGCAGCAGCAGCTCCGCCACCTCCCTCCCCTGCCCCCGGAGGCGCGGGCACCCGGCGCGCACGTAGAGCTCGAGGAGGAGCGTGCAGGCGGCCTCCACGTCGGGGCTCTCGGCGCGGATGTAGTAGCGGCCCACGGCGCGGAGCACGAGCGCGGCGGGGTCCGGGGCGCGCCGCAGCGCGCCCGGCCCCACCTGGCGCAGCCACTCGCCGCCGCCGTCCCGCACTTGGGCGGTGACGAAGCGCCGGACACCCCTGCAGTTCATCTGCTGGCACCTGTGCTCGAGCTCCGCCGCGTATGCGTCGCCGCCGCCGTCCTTGCGCTCGCGGTCGGGGTTGGGTAGAGGTGCGGGTGCGGACTCGGGCTGGGGCTCCGGAGCGGGACTGGGCTGGGTTGCGGGTGCGGGCTCCGGGAAGGGACTGGGCTCCCGCTCCCACTGCGTCTCCGGCGCCGGCGCGGCATTGGGTGCGGGTTCAGGCTGTGGCGCGAGAGTAGGCTCGGGCTCTCTGTCCGGCTGTGGCGCGAGAGTGGGCTCGGGCTCCCTGTCCGGCTCCGGCGCGGGACCGGTCTGGGGCTGGGGCTCGGGGGCGGGAAGGTAGGGTTTAGGGTTGGAACGGGGCCCCGGGAAGAGGACAGCGAAGGTGGCGGCGATGGAGGCGACGTCGAGGACGACGGAGTTCCACTGATCTAGGAAGTCGGCGAGGGTGTCGCTGAATGAGGCGAGGGTGTTGACCGAGTGCAGCATTGCCGCGCGCGAGGCGGGGGCGGCGGCGGTGGAAGCGGGCGGCGGAGGAGGAGGCGGAGGCGGAGGCATCGCGAAGGGGACTCGCGAGTCGCGACGCGTGGCGCGCGGGGTGCGGAACGGACGGACACGGACAAAGGCGGAGGGGTTCTGGACATGTGGTGGGACCCTGAATATGTGGGTGGGGCATGCCGGGACGGGACGGGATAGCCGGGAATTCGAATCCAAACGACCGGTTGGTTTGGTACAGACATGAGACATCATGCAAATTGCAAAACGCAGCGAGGATTCATGCATGAATGCATCATCCGACTCAACTCCGCTACACTAGTAATCGACTCAATAGCATGTAAATCTCACTTTTTAAGACTAGATTAGTGGAAGTGTGAAATTACACGTATGCCTCTCCTATATCCTTCTCCCCGCACACCAGAGCTAAAAAAACAATTGAACTATCTCGAGTATTCATTCAAAGTTAGATTTTCCAATTGCATGTGGTGTTTTTTTTTATTTGTAGGTCTCATCAAGAAAACACATCTCCAATCCATGATTACATTTATTTTGGGACAAAGAATTAAACTTCTTTTTAGGACTGAGGGAATAGGCAGTATCAGTGCGTTTGGCAACTGCCAAGACGAAGGGTGAGTTGATCGAATAGAGTTAAAATGGGAATTTGATTTTTAGTCCTATTAATCACCTGTTTAGTTTGAGTGAATAAGATGGGATTCAAGATAGAATTAACCTGTGCAAGCTTGCCATCAATGGTTGCTACACAGCTTCAAAAGTTTTTCTAGATGACATGTGGCCCTGTTCACTTCTCTTATAATCCGTCTTTTTCAGCTTGTTTTTTCAACCAGAACAGTGTTTTTCTCTCACAACAAATCAGCTAGAACAGTATTTTTGCTTGTTTTTTCAGCGAAGCGAAGCGAACAGGGGCCACATTGGGCTACTACAGTGCAGTTTGTTTGGACAGTCACAGTAGACAGCCTACAGGGCAATTCCACCATTGAGTACAATTGCACGTGTACAAAAATGATACATCCAGCAACAGATGACGATCATCCGCCTCAACTCAACAGGGACTTTCAGACTCAGAGCAAGCACTTTGAGAATAGGAGGCAACGCAACATCTCACTCTGCGATCAGGCACCAAGCCAAGCGCTACAATCAAAACAACTGGTTTTAACAACGGTTTGTTCGCCAACATGCACGACTGTATAGTTTACAACATCTGGTTCTCTTCGCAGTACCATCTACTGAAAAAAAATTGTTGTTAGCATCCACATTCCACAGGATACATAAATATACTTGATACTAGGCATGCGATCCAGAGAGGGCGTTCTGCGACGATAGGCTCTAGCTCTTTTCTGTCCCCCACGAAAACTGGCAAACCTAAGTCAAATAATGGTCCCAGCCCAGGCGATACAGCCACGTCACCATGCCTTCAATCCTGCCAAGATGCAAATAAACGGAGACATGGTATGAGAAACCACTAGCCACAAGGAAAACAAATTATTAAGTATGTGTAGGCACGCATCAGACATTAGGTCATTATACCTCCTGAATTGGGGTGCTTTCGTCGTCTTGTTTCTGCCCATCAGCCTCACCCTCCTGGTTCTGACCATCTGTATCCATCTTCTCAGCTCCCTCTGAAGCTTCAGCCATGTTTGCATCAGGCTTGGGCACTGCAAATTCAGCAGGAACTTGACCAGTGCTTAATACCTGTGCACGATGATCCACAAAGAAGCTATCAGTACATGGTTAGAAGCCAAAGCTGCAAAAAGCATGAGAACAAAGTCATAGGACATTACCTGCTCTAGCCTTGCAGCTTCCTCAAGAGTGTGAGCATTCGCAATAGCAGCCTACAAATATACAACAGTTTTTTTGTCAGCAAATAAAACAAGCAGAGTTATTGGGTAAAAACTACAATGGGAACACCAAGAGAATACTGTGCAAGCTAGGAAAAGATTTGGAAACAAATTATTACCTTGATAGCCATGATTTGTTCAGGAGTTGGAGCAACTACTTTAGGACCTTGTGGCTCCATAGTGATGTCCTGAGCATCAGGCAGACCAGGAGTAAACGTTTTGGCAGGTACCTTCTTTGCCTCTTCCTCTGCCTCCTTTGAGTGAAACTTTTTCGCTGCCGCAACTCTCTCCTACAAAACAGAAAACAAATATCTCCCAAGGAAATTCAGAAACAAAAGCAACATGTGCAGACACGATAATGGAAAACATGTCAGCCAAAGCATTCCATAGTGTTCATGCATCTAATTCATGAAAATCCAAAGTCAAAAGAGTTGCTTGTTTGTCCCTTTTGCTGCCAGCACTTCTAGGGTCCATCCCAAAACATATTTTGGAGCCATTCCAAAGGAAATGAACAAACAACCTGTGGGGGAATAAATCAACTAATCAAGCAGCGATGCAGGTTTTGTCTAGGTTTATGTTTTCCAAAAAAGACTCTGTGACAATAAATGCAGCTGAAAATAAATTAACTAAAACTACTAGTCATGTTCACACAAATGCAAACATGTAGAGAGCACGGAAAGGGTGAATAATGTAACACATGTCTCAGATGACATCCTTGTTTAAGACAGTAACTTTGAACTTTAGAGTGTTTTTTCTGGACATGGTGACAGGAAGAAGTTAGCACAATAGGTGGTGGTTTGTATTATATATGTGCCCCTTTATCAAAATGGACTTTAACTAAAACATGATTCAGTTAGTTATAGGCCCATCAGCAAGTCAAACCACATAAGCTTGCTGATCGCGGCACTAATAGTTTTAAATTCCTGTTGATACCATATATTACAAAAGTAGAACATGCAATCTTAACAATAACGAGCGGATTCTATGCAAAATACTTCAGTTAGATAATTAGTGCTAACCGCTCGTCATAACCCAAAATAAGAAACATATAATCATTTGTTGTACCAGAACGGCAAACACCAAGCAACTAAGGGTTATCTTAAAAACCATCAGTGGCAAATTCATGGATTAATAAGAAAAAGCACAGAAGTTGACAGCAATGCATGAAATGTGTGACAGATATTCATGCAAACGATAAACATTTCATCATTTTATACGCCAAAAGATATTGCTCACCTGTTGCTTCACTTTCTTGAAATCCAGCAAACGCAAATGCTTCAATTTATGGATAACATATAGCCTGTAGTCTGGTTGCTTAGTTACAGTATTATCCAGTAAGCTGAGGAATTGTAGCTTCGGAAGAGATGCCAGCGGATCAATCTCTGCAAGATTTGTCAGACGATTGTTTGTGAGCACCAGCGTATGCAGCTTTGGCAAAAACTCTGCATGGGAAAAAAACAAGAAAGAAGGTGAAGCATGGAGCAAATATGGGAGTTAGAAAACAGTGTTGAGAATACAGGAGTTCTTACCATCAAGATTGGGATTGATACGTGTGATTCTGTTATTGTTAACTAGTAGAGTGCCAAGACGATTCAAGTATGGGAAGTTTTCAAGCTTGACAATCTCATTGTCTGACAAGTCAATTGTGTCAAATTGGTCCTGTTAGAGAGAGAATGAATAGACATGGTGTTAAGAAAAGCTAGAGAAGGAACCCATAAAGCTAAATACTATTCCAAATGGGTTTTAAAATATATTATTCCAGTTCAACCAATTCAAACAGCACAGTATCAAGTCATTGATATGCCAATAAATGAAATCACCCAGATGTGGACCAGCCAGACCAAAAGAAATTGGATTGGGCACTATATTAACACAGAAATTACACAGGCCCTTTAGACCCCTCAAATTAAGCAAAAATCAGAACAGATCCAGAACTATTAGACAACCTCTCACTTTAACAATTCCATGGAACAAAGCAGGTATGCATATAAATATACATAACATAAAAGATGTTTGGCACAGTAAATAGAACACCAAAATTACAAGTAGCAATTCCTATGGTACAGGAGGCATCTACATTAACCACTAAAACATAGACCACCAGTCCTCCCCTACTATACTAGTACAAATGTATGAGACCCTTCACCCCTTAAGCTGGTTGAGCAGAGCATTGGGATTGATTGTCCGAAACAGTATCTCAATACAGAAAATACAGCTCCCTTTGGTTTACCCACCAATTAAATGCTCACAATTTATTAAAAAAATGCATGCATCCACTAGGTCAAAACATTTATCACCCAATATTCACTCCAATAGAAGCAAATCCGTTTACTTGGAGCCGAACTACCGTGAAAACAAAAGTGAGTGGAAGTGGCTGTGACAGCCTGACAACACCATACTAACACTACTGTACTAACTAACATTGCTGTAGCAACTTCAAAGGGGATCGAACCACACCCCTGCCAAGCACATAGACTACAAGGCAGCGTGCATCGTGCGCCTAACAATCTCGCAGGTTGTTTGCCAATACAGACATGCGTAAAGGAAGAAGCCGGCGGAGCTCACCTCGGTGGCTCCGAGATTCTCGATGACGGCGATCTTGTTGCCTGCAGCGAAGGGGGAGAAGGAGGAGGAGCAAGGGTCGTGAGCTTTCGAAGAGCAGAACACAGAACCCTAGATCTAACAGGCTGGGGAAGGAGGGAGGGAGTGGGCAAACCTCGGAGGTCGAGCTCGCGCTCCTTGATGGCGTTGAAGAAGTGCGGGCTCTTCCATATCAGGTCGGCGGTGAGCCTGACCATGGCGGCTGGGAGAAGGCGGCGGCAATGGCGGCGGCCGCGGGATGTTGGGAGACACGGGGTCGGGGAACGGCGAGGCCGAGATACGATACGAAAAACCCTAGTGGCGGGGCGGCGCGATTGCAAGCGCCAAGCAGTGTGGGGTGGGCAGTCTCCAGTCGGTCTCGGTCCCGAACGTTGGGCTCGTTTTTGGTTTGGACCCAAACTCGACGACCCAAGGCTCTTTTTCTTTTCTTTTTTCCCTCCTTTTCTCTATCCGACCCGAAGTTATTTTTCTTTCCGTCCTATACAAACTCAAAAGAAAACTCATGTTTCCCAATTCTATTATTTTTCAAAATGATGGAAGATACGTATTTTTCAATCCAAGTTCATTCATGGTATATCACATTCTAAATACACAGATTTAACT